ACGACACCCTTTAGTCATATTCGGGACCAATTAGAAGATTGTTTTGTATTTTCCCTTAGAAAGCAATATTTTTAGTTAATCTGATTCAACGGAGGGCGAGCACAAGTAAAAAGTGTAAATTACGCAAATACTCACAGCTGCAAAGTGTGTTTTTTGCAGGTTCGTGGTTTATATAACTTCCCTGGGTTTTGCTGGGCTTTAACCTGAGAATATAACCGTCTCTCCTCTCTTCTCGCTCCTCGCCACAAGGGAAACGTCGGCTTTATTCTCAGACTAACTTTGAAAGGAAAGTGTAAGTTTTACTTAATTCTTGTAATGAGCCCAGTACACCTGGTATGGAGTTTACCCGGCAGGAAGGCAAGCAATGTGACGGTACATTGAGAAGAGAGGAAATCAGTCTTTTGATGTATTACGCTCTTTGTTTTTTTAATGCCGATCTTGGTGCATAGCTTATCACACTGCCGAAATTTTCGCCACAAGTTAATTTCGCGAATTTCGCGATACAAAAAAATTCGCAAAATTAAAGTGAAGCGAGCAATAAGTGTCGCGCGATCATAACATGACACGAAAAGTAAGTAACTCACATTATGTCAATAATCAAGAAAGAGCGAGTTTATTACCACTGAAACGTATTTTGATAGCTATCTGATAACTCTAAGTCTCCAGCGTCTCGAACTTGAAGGTCATTGCTCTCAGGCAAAGAAATAATCTCATTTCTCATCTTCTGGCGCCCAGTAGGTAGAGTGCATTCACGTAAGCTCACATACCCTGAAGTGATTGCTAGGATTATCGTCATGTTTGGGAAGGAATCTCCACGAATGTCGTGTCGGCACTCTGGTCAGTAGTCGAAGGATGATGATGATGATGATGATGATGTGTCGCATGGGCTATTTTCCCTTTGAAAATGGTAGGGGCGAAACTGGCGCATTTTTAAAACCCATTTTTGTATTTTGCCGAAGAAACCACCATTATAGTGAAACCACGACAGTTTAGTAAAGAACTCATACTAAAGGTGGACTAGTCATTCCGCAGACGAAGATCTCAATCAAAAAGCAGAAACAACAGTTATCAAGAGTTTTAAGCACTAGCTGCAATAAAACGGTATTCTTTGCCTGAAGGTTGCTCTGTAGATCAGTCGTTTGATCTCTTTCCTTATATCACCCTTGAAAACAGCATAAGCCAAGGGGTTTGCGGCAGAGTTTAAAATTACAATAATAACTATACTTTTGTTATATTCACTACAATGACCTGTCCAAAATGTTATGAGACAGCGGACATTTACGCCACAATAAACAAGGAACAAGACAACGACAATGGTCATCATTATTAATACCGACTTCTCTCGCCCGTTGTTAGAAGGCACCTGTTTTCCCAATGCACGAGCTGCTCCGTTTTGCCTGTAGATAACCCGTAACATCGATGCAAAGCAAAAAATTATCAACATACATGGAAAGATGAAAAATATGATTATAACCAGCACTTTGAAAGAAGAAAAAAGAACATATGCATTTAACTTAACCAACAGAAACGACTGAAGTAAAATAACAGCTACTGAGATCCCCCATGAGAAGGAAATAAGTTGGATAACACGTCTTGAAGTCATAAAAGTTAAGTATTTTAAAGGTTTCACAACGGCTAAGTAACGATCCAGAACTAAACTGCACATACTCAGAACTGATGCATCCTGGAAGAGCCATCTCAACCGTAGTAAGATGATATACAAGCCTTGATCACTGCGGCCGATTACTTCTAAGAAAAAAATGGAAGGAAAAACCTGCATCCCAACAAGAAAGTCTGCAACTGCGAGAGAAACAATAAAAGCGTTGGTTTTGGTTCGGAGATGCCGTTTACTGCTCACCAGAAAGATGACAAATCCATTCCCAATCATCGTTTGAATGGAGGCAAACCAGCCAAGAACACAAACCCAGATTTCCATCTTCATAATCGTCAGACGCTCGTTGTCCATGTCGTTGTCCATGTCGTTTGTTAGTTTCAGTTTCTATGTCTTCTTGTGTCCTTCTGTTATCTTCGACCTGTCAATGCTAAACGAGGCGAAAAAGTGTCAAGATGTTCTGAACTTAAATTTAAGTATCAGCAGCATTAAAACCACTTGATTGAAAAATCCAGTGGCGACATAAATGCCGCATACAAATTCACCAGCCATGAATAACAATACATTCGTTTTTATTGTTCTTTGATAAGGTGTTAGGGTAGCAATTTTAGAAAAAAAATTTTTCGTTGTTTGCACCTTGGATATGCCAGAACTTTAGCTATGGAGCGAATAAATTTAGTTTGGCGCTTCCTGTGTTGTGCCTCTTACGGTTCTTTTTTACGTATACAGCCCGTGATAGTAAAGTCTACTTCGTGCAAAAGGCCCTTCTCAGCTGGTATGACTGAAGAACACTTTGCTTCCAGTAAGCAATCATACGGAACATTAAAAAGAAACGAAATTGGCAATCTACTCTGGTGAATAAATAAGCTGTTTTCTTTAAGGCCCAAATGCATGGCCTGCCCTCCTTCTAGGTAAAAGGTGGCCCGAACCTATTCATATGCGCGTTGGTTATGTTTTAGAATCGCGTTTTTCGGCAGAAATGATCTAACCAATTTCCGGCTATGATTTTTGGCATCCTTACTAAAGAATGCTCGCACTCTAAGAAACTGTTATTTATTTTCTTGTAGGTACAAAA